CATTCTGATGCTCTCTATAGACCCACATGTATATAATCAGGGATTGGGAATGAGCCACTTCAAAACTGGAGGACTGAGAAGAAGATAAGGACCACAAAGAATCATACTGGGGAGATGGAGGTCACGAGGCTCTCCAAAAGCCATACACAGGAGATACCACTAGGTGGGTACAACAGACTCAGTAGTGTAAGGAGAGTACCAGACTAATGAATCTGGAGAAAGGATGGTTAAGTGAACTGCCAGAGGCAACTGTACGAAAAGTCCTTCAAACATCTTCAACGTCAACATTGTTATTGTTGAAATGTAATGTACATGTGAATGGTGTGGGGAGTAAAGTAGGGAGTGAAGTAACAAATGTCAGAGGTTGACAAGAGGTCAAATCATGGAAGGCCATGCTAATTTTATTAACTTATATAATGCATGAAGTCTAGAATTTAAAATTACAAAGGTTTTCTACAAATCAGTAAGAAAATACAAATAACCTGTATTAATCAGGACAGAAACCAAATCCAATTATCTTAAACAAGAAAGGAATTTTATTGGCTCTCAAACTTTAAAGTCCAGAGGTAGGGCAGGCTTTAGGCACAGCTGGATCTAGGGCCTCCAGAAAAATGACATCAGAACGTTGTTCTCTTCCCACTTCTGTTAGCCTCTAAGTTTCTCCTCAGATACTTTCTTGACATGGTACAAATAAATTCAGGTTTATGTAGGCTCTGATTCCTGGGGCCTCCACAGAGTTGCTTTTCCAGTAGTTCCAGCAGTTCTGTTGAGGGCTCTCCTTAGCCTGGTTTAAATTCTATGCCCATTCTTTTAATTGTTGTGGCTAGGGAGCTGTTGTATTCAGGAGGCCAGGCCTGGTCATGTGCTCGCCTAAGCCACATGGAATGGGTTCATCACAATAAATAAGGGTTCTGTTATCAGAAGATGGAGGAAGAAATGCTGAATAAACAAAAACAGATATCCACACAGAAAAGCAGGTAGAAGATACAAACAATCCATTATAAAACTGTAAATGACCAATAAACATGAAAGTAACCCCAACTTCACTATTAGGAAAATGCAAAATAAGGAAGGTGTTTCTTTTTTTTCTCTTTTACCCAACAGATAAAGACTATCAAGTGTAAAGCTATGCAGGGTAATTAGCACTTTCCACACAGTTGTTGAAAATACAGAAGTTACGGGAGTCTCTAAGAAGGCTAAAGTGAGTCTGTCAGACAGCAAGTCTTTCAACTCAACAATCCACTTTACAGATACCAGCCTAAAACAGTCTCACAAATGCACAAAGACATCTGAGTAAGATGTTTACTTTGGCAATGTACTAGCAGGAGAAAAAAAAAAAGGGAGGAATAAAATGATATTTTCATAGTACTCAATCCCATTCAACCACTGAAGAAATTTAAAGTCCTCAATATCTGTAAGGCAAAAAAAATTAAAAATCAACACCTATATATAATCCTATTTATGCAAAAATAGTGTTTATATGTTTATGTATATTCATATGGAAATGTATGGAGGGTACTAGAAGGATGTATACTAAACTGTGGAAAGCAGGATGTTACTGGAAGCCCTGGAGAAAAATGGTCTCTTGGCTCTTAGATTTGTGTTATCATTTAAGTCTTGTATACTGAAAAGGTAGTTATTTTTACTATCAAAATTAAGAAAAATGGGCAAAATCAATTCGCAACACAACATAAAAATAGTTAACATATGAAAAGATGTTCCTTCTCATTAACAATCAAAGAAAAGAACAATGAAAAGACAAGACATTCTGCCTATCAGATGGCCAAAAAATTTTAAGTATGCAGCGTTGGTACGAGTGTACACAAACAGGCATTCTTCCCATTGATGGGAGTTGTAAAATGGTACGTTTATGGTATTTCCCAAAAATGTCAAATGTGCATTCTCTGACCCAATAAACCCATTTATAGCTATTTATATTATAGAAATACCCACAGACAGCAAAACATATATACGGGATGTTAATCTGTATCTATAAAGACCCTAATAATCCATCAATATGAGACTGGTTAAATGAATTTAAGAGTATATTCATGCAATGAAATAGTATGCAGGTATGAAAATGTTTTCATCAATGTGGGTGAGGGGAGGCATCTCAGTACAGTGTGTGTACAATGGGGATATATACCTACCTCTTAAGGTTGCTAAGGATTAACAGTTAACCCATGGTAAAGCACTTCAGTCGGTACCTGTTAAATAGCAACCCCAAGTCTCAGCTATTAACAGATTTTTGCCTAAATATGTACATGCCCAAATCTGGAAGAAAAACAAATTACCACAACGTCTTGGAAATGTCCTTTTTCGTTTTATATTTCTGTACTGTGAAAAATTCAAATGAGCATGTGTAATAGCTTTCATTTGTCAATCAAAATTTAACAGCCATTACTCATGACATAGTGAAAAAATATGTCCTGGGAGTCCACAGAACTAGATTTGAGTTTTAGTTCTAATTGGCCACATGCAAGCAAGAACTCTGAATCTTGCTTTCCTATTCTACAAATATAGGTGAGATAGGTATAGTGTCTAATCCAATTCTTAGCATGCCTATTATTTCAATACATGTAACCTTCCCCTTAGCTTACACAAATGTAGGACACTGCTAAATGATCAAATGTCAACTGAGTGAGAATATGGATATGAATAGCTTAACTTCCAAGAAAATCAGTAGAAAATTTAACAGCAACCAGCAAATACTCAGTGGCTATTAGATAAGTCATCGGCAGTCTGTATGCACTAAAGCAACTGCTCATTTGCTAACCAGATGTCCTATTTAGGTCACTGCTTAGCAGTTTCCACATCACCACTTCACTGGAGGCTGGACAATCCTCCAAAATAATGATTATCTGTGTGGGTATCAATGAATGTCTGGATGAAACAAACCATAAATCACTGTAAAGTTATTTTAAATCAATTTGTCTAACAGGGACTTAAGCCTAACTGGGGATGGTGAGTACACATCCCATCATTCCCTTTCTCTCTGTACCACCATCCAATCTTTTGGGTTTTATTTTGCTCCAGTCCCCCTTTCCCCCAAAGCCTTGCCTTAGCATCAGAGTCCTTTCTGACTGATGCACAGGTTATCAGACCTGGCAAAACAAAAACACATTTGCCAATTCTAATGCTACTGTTTCTGTGCTCAAACATTACCAAACACATCTTTGGCATATATGACAAATCTACCTCAGGAGTTTCCAGCCTGAGAGGTCACTCCCGTCTTACCTACTCTGATACAACAATTCCACCATCCCAGCAGTCTTCCAAATCTGCCAACTCAAAACCTACTTGGAAAAAAGTCAGTTATAAATAAATCAATCAACTCGAGATCATTTTATCTTAGGACAGAGGAGTTTATAGCTTTATTGACTTGTTTCCTCTCAGCCACAGAGAAAAAGACCAAACAAAAAGTCCCTAATTTTCTGGTATAACTTAAAATACATATCATTACTACATATTTATACTTCAATAAATCTTACTTCTATAAAGCACATTTCTTATTTTATCAGAAAATCTATAAACAAGCTCCATTCTGCCTCACTCTCCACCAGCTGACCTTGCATTTACTCTGCTTTTTAACAGACTCATGCAAATCTCGCCTTCCCCTTTAAAATTTGATCCAAGCACTAGATATAACCCAAATCTCTGGAACTATGAAATGTCTGTATTTGCATGGATCATCTTGCAGACAATGATAACCATCATAAAAAATCCTTTTCTCATATTCCATGTTTTAACTTCCAGAGTTTTCCACTAAACAGTAGAACCACAGTACTTGGGATTCTTAGCCAAGGAGTATATAATCCTACTACTACAATGTATTACTTTAATACATTTGTAAAAACTTGTTAAGACTGAAAATTAAAAAACAAATTCCAATCAATTCTGATAGTTCATTAACTAGTTATTAGCCTAGTTGTTTATTTTTAAAGCAGAACAGTCCATTCAACTTAACATGTTAAATACAATCTCAAAGCTACTAGATTATTTTTAAAAATAAGATTCATAAACCTCCAAACTGTGTATCTTGGACTCACCTCTGAAGAATGCTGGAGAGCTGGCTAGCTCTTTGAGCCGAATCCTCCTTTCTTTCCAAAACAACACCCTGGTAAGAGAACTACAGCTCTGGGAATCTCAGAGGTAACCTCCCCTGTGAATACTGATGGGGAAAGAGGCTAACTACATGGAAAAGCTTTGTACCAAACCCCCTATGACTTACAGTGGAAGAAATACCTACCTACTTATGGTAGTATTACAGTACCTAGCACAGTGCCTTGTCGGTAGAAAACGTTTAATAATAAATGCATGGCTGTTTTAGCCTGATGTTCAATCCTTTTGTACCAAAGAAATAAACAGCAAACCGGGTACTTATTGCCTGCCTGTAAGGGAATTTTCTGCTCTTAACAAGGATGAAGGCAAAATGATGATCAATTTGATCTGCAGGCTTTTTCTAAAAGCCAAGACAGATCACCTTATGTTTACATTTTATCTTTCAATACTGTCATTCACTACAAACTCCTTAGTGTTATTTTTATCTTTGTAGTTTTACAGGTATTGTTTGGACTGTCCACTTTTTAATAACAAATGGGAAAACATTTATTAAAGGGCAGTTTTTTAGTTTTCCTGCAGGATGCCTACACTTAAGAGACACTGATATACTTCAATGCTTAAATCTTCCCCAATCCTGATGTCCCATTCACTTTTTGAAGTGTTGTCACCATCACTTCTTGAGATCTTAAGGCTCAATTTGAAGCTTTTAGTCATCCTTTATCTACTATATTCTCAAACATACACTCGAATTATGTAAAAGGAAACAGAAGGTAAATTTTTGAAAGATGGTTTTAAATGGCTGAAGATGTTTTTCAGACTTTGTAATTCCTGTGTTGCCTTTTAAAGTAGAAAGGAATGTATCCTTACAAACATTTCAATGATCAATACAGAAATAAAATATTTATCTAAAAAAAGGAAACCTTTAGGAAAGGGACAAGGAATTAGGTAGTTCATTATTTGGGGAAAAAAATAAGAGCGTATAAACATCACATGGAAAATCTAGGCATTAACACCTGAATTAAGTTTAAATTTTCAGTTTCTAGGCAGGTTTAACACCATTTCTTTCAAGATAAAATAATAATGGTAAGTGAAGATTTTTTTTTATTTCCCAGTGGATTTTCTGACAGTCAGTAGGGAAAAAACTACTATGTATCACTTCATGTTTTTCAATTTTACCTTCATTTCTGAAGAAAAAAGACCTGAGTGCTGATTTTTTTTTTTTTTGTAATTTTTTAAACTTTCACAACATTCAGAAGTTTTTCTGCATTATGTCTTCTCTGATGTCTAAAAAGATTTGAGCTTTGACTATAGGATTTCCCACACTGAACACATTCATAAGGTTTCTCCCCAGTATGGATTCTCTGATGATTAATAAGCCCAGAATTCTGGCTAAAGGCTTTCCCACATTCAAGACACTTGTAAGGTTTTTCTCCAGTATGGACTCTCTGGTGTTGCACAAGGATGGAACTTCTGCTGAATGCTTTTCCACATTCAACACATCCATAAGGTTTCTCCCCACTGTGGATTCTTTGATGAAGAATAAGGGCGGAGCCTTGACTGAAGTGTTTTCCACATTCATCACATATATGTTGTTTCTTTCGAGAGGGATTTCTCTTTCTTTCAAACCTCCCCTTGGGGAAACAGGTTTCTCCATATTTAAAAATTTGAGGAACACCTATATTAAGAGCGCCAGGAACTTCATGAGATTCTACTGCTGAAGGAATTTCCTGTTTTGGAGCTAGTGCTCCATTTTCAATCCTAGCATCATCATCTGAAATAGAAAATGTAAATATCACTTAATTCCAATTTGGGGAGAACAGAACTTGAAGAAAACAAATTTAAAAATGAACTAAAAGTAAAAGGCTTGTGCACATCTATAAACAGCAGCATAAAAACTAGCATTAGGTTGCCTACTCTCAAAAGGCGAAAATGAAATGGCTGATTATGAGGTTAATAAGTTAAGGGCACAGTAACATGACATAAAAGATTATGTCTACATGGAACATAGGCAAGAGAGTTATAAATGGTAGATTCTAAGACAGTTAGGGAGATGGTCAAAGTGGTACAGCTAAGCCTGAAAGAAATTGTTAAGAAAAAATGGAAATCATTATAATGTTCTTTTGCTTTGAGAAAAGTACATCAAAATGCAAAGGTATAAGTAATAAGAAACCTGTCAGAAAGTAACTATTTCAGAAATGAGCAAGTCAAGGTAGGTCACAACCAAGATTAGACTAAAAACAGAACACAGGAGTCCTGGTATTGAGACTCAATTTATCTCAATTAAGATAAATTGAGAGCATCCTGTGTTAACTAAAACGTGACACTTAAAAATTCAATATACCCTTAAAAAATGAAAAAGTTTCCTGTATGAAAACTTGCCCTAATTTGGTATTTATCATGGTTCTTATAAAAATTGTTACTTCTAAACCTCATTGATATGTGTCTTGTGAAAGAAAACCCTGAATTACTAACATGGAGACAGGAGACACCATCACCCATCTGCAAGCAGAAATAAGGGCAAGTCTCATTTAATAGTTTTCCTGAAACTTCAAGCTTAAGGACACAGTTGATAAGAAGGTGGGCAGCAGCACTCAAAAAAGTGGTCAATGGCATGTCATTAACAAGGGATAAGTCAAGTAAGAAGGGAGGGGGGAGAGAGAGACAGATAGACGCAGGATTAGAGGGTAGTGAGGCCTAAGGACTTGAACAGAGAAGTTGAGTGTGAAGGTGAAGTGGAGACAACTGATACAGAAAGGAATGGAAGTTTCCAAATGTGGAAAGAGAGTATACTGCTAAAGCAAGGATATTAAACATAGGGGAGAAAATATTTCTAAAACTCAGAAAGGGGAGAAACTTGCTGCCCAAGAAAATGCCACCTCTAAAGATCGAGCATAGTGGTTCTCAAACTTTACTGTACAGAAGAATATCCCAAGAAACATGTGGAAGTACAGATTGTAAGCAGACTTCTGCCTCATCCCCATTCTGATTTGCAAGCACCATCTCCTCATATGGGAAGAGAGCTTGCCACACCTTACTCTGTGGTATACCAACTTTATCTCCAACTACCTCAAGGAAGGAGTCCTAAAGTAGTCTCAAACACAATTTCCTATAAACTCATAAAATGCAACTAGCACTTCTGGGAGTACGCTGGGTTGCATACATAGACATATATGGCATTAGTTGCCAATATACTGGAAGCAAATGGATGAGAGAATTATTAAATTACCAGACTAATTTTTCTGCATCTAACATATGATAGCTAAGAAGCTAAAAAAGAAATTATCCCAAATACCATTTTTATTTAATAAAGCTTTTTAGGAAAAAATGACTCTAGGTAGTTTATTGAAGAAAACACAAATTGCTAAAAAAAGTAAAAAGACTTTAATGATATGTATATCATATATCATACAAAAAGATTAGAAGAGACTGGAGGTGAGTTCACTGTACCACTAGGTTTAGGCAAGACACTGTAAGTAAAAGGATGTAAAACAAATGACAAATAAGCAACACTGTATATGAAATAGAGAGATCTGGTCTGTAAGTAAGTGCTGGCTCAGAGTAAGACAAATGCTACCCTAACATGGGCAGGTCTTCAGGAAAGAGGTTGAAAGAGAAGAAAAGGCTGAAAACTTTAATGTCCAATATCTAGGAATAAAAAATCAAATTGTTATTAGGAAAGAATGGAGATCTTATAATATGTCTACATCTAAAGATTCAGGGTAAAAGTGATTTACCACCACGTGAACAAGCAAATAGCTCTGGAAAAAGGCCCATGTTCTCCCACATGGAGTTTTGGTCCTCACCACAGTGCCTTAGGGAATGGAGTTCCCAGGATGCCCACTTGAGCTGGTTCTCCACAGCATCAAGCTCAGAACTCGGTAATTCCTGAGCTGCTTCTTGAGATACTATCTCCTCTACCAGCACTTCCCGTTTCCGCTGACGGAGAGAAACCTGGAAACAAGATTTTAGTTCATTTGAGAGAATTTTGATACTAAACACCCATAAAAGAAACCACACAAAATATATACTACAGCCAAGAGCTAGATGGCAAAGCAGCACAAGTATTGGAGAGTGGCAAGGGAATGGGGAGAAGGCACAAACATAACTCTTAGTGGAGAAGAATTAATTCAACAGTTTGCCCACTGGTATGTCAGTGCTTCTGACCCAGGGAGAGTGATGCAATCAAGCTCACCGTCTGTCCAGGGTCATCCAGTTCACTCTCTAAATCCTCCAGTACTGTCACTGCCTCCTCTCCATTCTCTGGATGTTGCTCTCGAACCCAAGTCTGTAACTCCTTGGGTAGGATGGCAATAAACTGCTCCAGCACAACCAGCTCCAAGATTTGTTCCTTTGTGTGCGTCTCAGGCCTCAGCCACAGACGGCAAAGTTCTCGGAGCTGACTCACAGCCTCGCGGGGCCCTGGTGAATCCTGATATCCAAACTGCCTGAATCGCTGCCGGAAGACCTCTGGGTCAGGGAGATGGTTCCAGGTAATACTTGATCCCTCTTCACCATCAGGATCCTCCTCCAGTTTCACTCTCAGAATTTTTTCCTCTTCATCTGGATTTGGGATGATAAGTATTGAATCTTCTTCCACTGACTGAGCAGACATCCTGATTTATAATACTTCAAGGAACAAGAATCAAGGCAGGATATAAGCCTTAGGAAAATATCCCTTTTATTCACAACTATTCCTAAGGCACAAAAAATAAAAAATATACAAATGACCAAATATCCAAAGAACTTGGACTTACAATGTTAAGATAGTTGTTCTTTTACTGAGTTAAAAATTCCAATCAATCACTTATATCGATTGAAATTCTTCCAGAATTAGCAAACTACAGCTCCTCAGCAAATCTATCCTGCCACCTATTTGTTCCAAGAATGACTGAAAACAAAAATATTTCATGATGTGAAAATATGAAATTTAAATGCCTGTGTCTACAAATCACTTTATTTTTCCATGGTTCATGCTGCAACAGCAGAGTTGGCACAGTGAGTAGTTTCAATTGAGACATAACAAACTTAGTATTTATTTGCTGGCTCTTTACAAAAAAAGCTTGCTGGTCTATGACCTACAAAGTCAACAAATCCTGTTCAACAATCAAAAGAGTCCAAATAAAAACCAGTTGACCTCAATGTTTTGTAAATGTTTTGACCCTGGGACATATTTTTGCAATTTAGGACTGGTTTTCCCTGTCAAACATAGGTCAAGTCCATGCCTTTAATTTTAATTTTTTATTTTTTGGTGGTGGATTGAACCCAGGGCCTTGTGCAGTCATAACTTTTTATTAGCTGCTTAAATTTTTTCTCTTTATGTTTTTTAAAAGTTTAAAAATATTTTAAAGATACTTAAGAACTTCTTAAAGTTAAAATATGTACGAAAAATGTTCACTTCCTCAGTAGCAGATCACATGATACTGGAAAAACACAGTAACATGCAAATATTATTAAGTCATCCATCACATTGCAAATGCATTTAAATTTATAATAGGCATTAATCATTAATCACTGCAAACTCTAATAAAGAAAAGGCACTCTTTAACTTCGTGCAGTTGCCCAGTCTTCTTAAACTTAATGACTCAGTTTTCCCAGCCTTTTTTTTTTGTAGCGGGACCGGAGTTTGAATTCATCCTATGCCAGGACCGTACCCTATCAAAGGTTAGAGCATTTATGTTGCCAGGACAGTACCCTATCAAAGGTTAGAGCATTTACGTGTAATAGAAATTTTCTTTTATGATACACTGCACGCTGCTGTGGGACGCGTGTAAGGAATGCAGGCCCAAGGGCCCGAGTATTTGAGCTGTTTCTTGATCCCAGGAGGGCTCTTTTCCCCACCTCTGTAGGATGTCCTCGGGCCTTCTTCCCAGACCCCAGTGCGGATAGCACAAGACCACAGGCCGCACAAGACCACAGGCCACCCAAGACACAAGAGCGTCGGAGCCACAGTACGTCCTTCCGCGGCCCGCAAGACTACAAGTCCCAGCAGCCCCCGCGGAAGGCCCGCCCAGCACCCACCTCCGTCACAGATGACTCCCAGAACTCTCCGCGAGACGCAGGGCCTCGAAATAGAACAAAACCGGCCTGTGGGGGAGGGGGAGGGGAGGGTTGCGGGGGACACACGAAGAAATCTCCACGGATGCCTAAAACCGAGGAAGTCTCCCGCCGATCCCTCCCCGCTCCTCAATTGCTGGGCTCTGAATCTCCGGCCTTTCCTCCGCACCTTCGGGAAAGTGGAGAAAGGTCCCCTCCAGGCTTTCTCGCCTGCACTTGCTGAAAAGTCCGCAGACCCTAGCGCAGTGACCCCCTCCTCCTCATCCCCTTCCCCAGCTCCGGCGCAAACCTTTGGCTCAGGAACCGCAGCAGCTTTGCTGTCCAGTGCAGACGCAGAAACGCCGCTGACAAGCGGTTTCCCAGAAGCCCCCGGTGCGGACTGCTTCCGGTCTGCAGGCCCCGGGAGGCGGAGAGAGGCAAAGCCCCGCATTGCCATGGAGATGCGCTCCGGGCGGGGGAGGGGCGGCCTGACGACAATGACCGCATTGAGGCTGCGCTTGGCCTCGCGCCTCTCCTCGAATAGTTCAGCGCTCTCTGTTCCGTTTTAAAAAAAACAAAGAGGACGCAGCCATTAAGATACGTCTTTACAGTTTTCACATGCATTATCTCATCTGATCCTCACAGTAACCTTCTGAAAGAAGTAATAAACGCGAATATTTATGAAAGTCTTCTAAATTGTACCAAGCCCTATACCTGTGTTAGTGTAGGTTTTTTCCACAAAATCCTGTGATGTAGGACTTTCATTATGTCCATTTCAATGCCGAGATAAGTAAGGCACAAATAGTGACTTGGCAAGAGCTCATTAAGTACAAAACAAGAGTTATACCAAAATATGGCTCAAACCTTTGACTATGTTACGAAACTTCATTATGACCTATTTAGCTATCAGGAAAACAAAATGGAACAGGTTAGGAGCTTTGGCAATGATGTTGCAGTGAATTTGTGGAATGTGTGGTCACCTGACTTCATGATTGTTATTTTCTACCAAAAACCAGCTGGGGGAAGGGATCATTTAAAAATGTAAATCGGACCATTTCATTCTCCTATTTATAGGACTCCAATGATCCCAGTTACCTTCAATATGGCATAAAAATTAACACTGGCCTGCAAGGTTCCCTGTGGAACCTACTTTCCCAGCCGGATGGCAACTCAGGCTTGTGGCCCTGAAGCCTCAGCCTCACTGACTGCCTTTCCTCTGGAAGTCTGACTATCCTTCATAGCACCAGAAGTGATCTCATCTATTTACCTGCGTTTTGTCTGAGTTTATTAAGGCAGAGACCTTGTCTGTCTTACCGCAGTATCTCCACCTAGACTAAGGGTGCTAACTAACTGGTACACATAGAACTCAGTACATTCTTATTGAATAAGAGAATAAATTGTGGGCTGCCTTTGCCTAGGTCACATGTCAGTCCTCAGAAACCACACAGAAGAGCCCTGTCCTTGATGGTCTTGTGGTCAGAAGTGTAGCTACAGCCTTCCAGAGCATTGCAAGGTCCACAGGTTTCAGCATTTTGTCCCATTCAGTGCCTCTGCAAAGTGCCCTCAGCCTCTGTTGGATTAGTGAATGAGAAAACAAGTGAATGAGTAACTGATGCTACTGCAGAACTTTTCACTCTGACCAGAGCTCATCTTCTCATAACCTCTGCGGCTAACTCCTCTCTGTCTTCGCTGTGGGAGACTGCAGCCTTTCACTATCCCACTTGGCTACTGCCTGCAGCAACCAGCTTGGCTGCTCTTCCCAGCCTTTCCCTCTATGTGATTTCTAAAGGCTAGCTCAAGGCATTTCATTTCGTTTTGTTTTACTTTAAACGCTTTTACATCTAATTAATGATGAAAAACAAAAATAATAAAACATCAAACAAAAATACTTGAGGAAGCTAAAAATGTTTCAAAATTTTACGAAGTGCTTGCCTGCTATTACCTGTTCTGTTATTCCTAATTCTTTTAAAAATAGTAAGTGGAAACCACCATGAGGCTTTCCTCACTAAATCGCTCTTCTGAAGACAGGATTAACAACCCCCACTTTGAGCCACACCTCCAGCTGGTGATTCTTTCTTTTAACACTACCATCTTATTAAGGAGATAGCGAGACAAGAAAACAAGGCAATGGAGAAGTGTTACAGTGGAGAAAGAGCAGAATGCCAGCAAGGACACTTAAATGAGGTAGAAAGAGGGAAGGCATTCGCCCTGAGTTGGAGGCAGTGTGAAATAAAAGTTGCCCCTTGGGAAGGAAAGCACAGACTTTCAGATTTGATGTTATTAGATTCCACCCAGAATGCTTGTTAATTCTCTTATAATTATTTTGGATCTCTCAGTGTTTTAGTTCTAGAGTATTTCTTTCTGGAACATTAGGTACACTATTTGAAAATTCCATTTTAACAAATAAGTATAGTGTACCAGGAGTCCTTGGATTGCAAATGATGTAAAACCTAACCTCGGCAGACATTGTTAGCTTTTTACATAAAACCCTCTCCCTTCTAACATGCCCTGTTTTTTTGTTTGTTTATTTGTTTGTTTGTTTTTATTTGTGGGCAAGGGCAACACTGTGCCCAGCCATTGGTAATAATTCTGATCAAGTGAGGAAATCCATAGCCATTGTTTCCCTTTACCATATACTCACTTTGCCTCCCTGGCAACTAGGAACGGCCTATGGTTCATTTCTGGTCAGTAAGATGTAAGGGGAGAGAGTTTGTGTCTTTCTAAGACCTTATCTATTCCTTTAAGTTGTCAAATTTATTGGCATGAACTTGTTCATACCATTTCCCTTCACATTTTTTTGTTTTCTATAGAAACAATAGGGATGTCCCTCTTTCATTTCCTAAAATTGGTCATTTCTGGGTTCTAATTTTTGGCCAGTCTTGCTCAAAGTTCATCAATTTTATTAATATTTCAAAGAATTCTTGTTTTGTTTATTTGCTCTCATTATCTTTGTGGAATTTTGTTCTTTAAAAAACTTTTGGCATATAGTTCTGAGTTTTAACACGTACATAAATTTGTGAAGCTACCACCAAAACCATGATACAGAAAAGTTCCATCCATAAAACTCTTTCAAGGTGTACTCACATCTTTCCTGCATCCCAAGCCCATGATTGCAATTGATGTGTCATCACAGTAGTTTTGACCTCTCCAGAATGCAAAAGAAATAGAATCATAAAGCATGTAACCTTTTATGACTAGTTTCGGTCATTCAGCATGGTGCCTTTGAGAGTCGTCTTTGTTGTATGTGTCAATATTTCATTCCGTTTTATTACTGAGTAGTATTCTACTTATATATATCAACTTTATTTATACACTCAACCATAGGACTTTTAGGTTGTTTTTGGAGCTAGACAATTATTAATAGAGTCACCATAAATAGTCATGGACAAGTTTTTGTATGAATATAAGTTGGTTTTGGTTTAAGCTTTTTGTTTGCTTTTATTTTTGAGACAGGCTCTGCATAGCTCAAGCTAACTTTCGAATTCACTCTGTTGCCTAGGCTGATCTTGAACTCATAAGCTTCCTGCTTCAGCCTCCTGAGTGCTTGGATTATAGGTGTATGCCACCATGCCTGACATGAATATAAGTTTTTATTTTTCTAGAATATCTCCATGTGGGATTGCTGGATCACATAGTAAAGATGTGCTTAGCTCTAAAGGACACTGTCAAGTGTTTTTCCAGATTGGCTACACCAACAGCTATTTTCCAGACTGGCTGTACTACCCAGCAATGCTTGGGTGTCCCAGGTGCTCTGCATTCTCACCAGCACTTGGTATTGTCTTTGCTAGCCATTCTAATATTTATGTAGTCATATTTTTATCATAGTTGCAAGTTGCATTTTCCTAAAGACTAATGATGTTGGGATTTTCATGTGCTTATTTGCCATCCATAAATACTTTTCCAGGAAGTATTTGTTCAGGTTTTTTTTTTTTGCCCTCATTAAAAAAATCATTATTCTTACTGATGAGTTTTGGAAATTCATTATATGTTCTGGATACAAGTCTTTTGTCTAATTTGTGATAGAAAATATTTCTCCTAGTCCATGGTTTGCATTATTTTCTCATAATGGTGTGTTTCTCATAGCGAATTTTTTTATTTTGATAACCCCAATTTCTTTTTTTCTTTAGTGCTTTTGGTGTCATATCTAAGAATATCTTAACCCCATACCATGGAGATTCTCTTATGTTTTCTTCTAAAAGTTTTATATTTCATATTAGATATATGATCTATTTTTCATTAATTTTGTTATGTCATGAATTATATGGCAGTTTTTTTATCTAACTGTTCTATGTGATGAAAAATTTCTTCTATTTCATTTAATTGCCTTTGTATCTTTATAACAAATAGCCATATGTGTAAGTCTATTCCTGAATTCTCTAATCTGTTGTGTCATTCATTCTGTCTCTTTGCCAGTGCCACATCCTTGATGACTGTAGCCTTATAATTGTTTAAAATGTGCCTCAATTGTATTTTTTTCAAAACTGTTTTAATTATTCTAGTTCAATTAGCATTTCACATAACTTTAAAAATCAATATGCCCATATCTATAAAAATTTCCTACTGGAATTTGTATTGGAATTACATTACATCTATTCATCAGTTTAGGAACAATTGGCCTGTTATTTATATTGAATCTTACAATTCATGAACACTGTATTTTACCATCTATTTTGACCTTTGATTTTCTGCATCAGCATTTTGTTGATTTTATATACTAATCAGGCTTATATTTTGTTCAATTTATTCTTACTATATTTTGGAGTTATTTGAAATGGTATTTAAATTTTTTTTTAATTTCAGTTGTTTGTTGCCAGTGTATATAAATATAACTGATTTTATGCGTATTGACTTTTGCTATAGACTGATTTTATCCACCCCTCAACCAAATTCTTATGTTGAAACCTTAATCTCCAATGTGATGTTAGCTGGAAGTGGGACCTTTGGGACATAATTCAGAGTATGAAGAGTACAGCACTTATGGAAGGGGTTAGAGCCCTTATGGAAAGATACTCAAGACAGAAGATTTCTCTCTGCTATGTGAGGATACATCAAGAAGGCATCCCACTTGCAAGCCAAGAAGAGGGACTTTACCAGCTACTAAGTCAGCTGGCATCTTGATCTTCAACTTACCAGATCTCATAACTATATGGAATAAATATCTGTATTTTTGTTATAGCAGCCTGAACTGAGTAAGATAATTTTGTATCCTGCAGCATCAGTAAACTACATGATAACTATTAGGAATTTTTTGTAGACTCAGTGGGATTTCCTATGTAGATTATGATGTTATCTGCAAATGGAGATGTTTTATTTTATTGTATAATTACCCTTCTTCCTTTTTAATTACCCTAATTTTCCTTTTTAACATTTTTATTAGTATGTATTAGTCATACAAGGAAGTTTCAT